ATGCAAAGGCCGGTATAATCTAATGAGATGACTAAGGGTGAAGTCGAGCCCGGCCTTATCTGTAAAAAATCTTATCATCAGCACTATCTTCCAAAAGGACGGGTGAGCATGCGCCAAAGTAACCTGATAGCTCCTATAAAACTCGAGCACGACTCTATCTAGAGGGCCCAATGTAAAGGGGTACGTATAAACGTTCAAAACCCCTCGACATGGGTCGTAATGCTCTCCTTTGGGGAAAGTACCTACAACACCACTTCTCCTCCCCATCCGCAGTCTTTTCTAACTGCCTCGAGATGCTCCTCCCCTATCGAGGAGATAAAACTCGGCATGCTCCCGGCGGCCCGAAACATTAGGAGGTCTCTCTGGCGAGAAATCCCTCCTCGTGACGAAGCACCTCGACGTTAGCCTGCTGGACGCCGACGGTGTACCACCAACCAAGTACGAAGCTAGGACAGAGCCCTCATCTCCTTGGCAAGCAGATTTGGGCGTAGCAGCCATGGATATGACGTAACAAAGAAAGGGGAAATGAAAGAGCTTTTGAGTTGAAGGAAATTTGGCGCATAGAAGAGAAACCCTATAAAGAAGATAGTTGCTCAGTGCAACGGTATTTTCAAATGGGGAGAAACAAGTAAATATATAGAGCGGGTGGCAACTGGTCGCCTGCCCTATATACCAATGAAATCTCATCATGTCAGCATCATTTTTTGGGAAATGCACCGGTGGGGCCATCTCGGTCACTTCACGACCGTATCACATAAATGATACTACCACGCAAGCGCTCGAGAGCCATTCGACCCCGAGGGTTTTCACCATTTGCAGGGCATCGACCCTACAAAAACTATCGGCCCAATTTTGAGATAGGTGCCCGATCTCAAGGGTCTCGAATGCTCCAAGTATGTGCCACAAAGAACCAACATCAGAATTTAGAGACAAAAGTATTAAAACATAGAGCTCAAAAAGACTGGAAGCAGAAAAATTATTGTATTCCCAAACACATTTACAACAGAGGAGCATTTAAAAAGTCTTTCCCCTAAGAAATTCTTGCACAAAAGAAAAAAGACGACCTAAGTCTACTCTCCACCACTGGCCTCGGAACCATCATCAGAACTCCCATCTGAAGTATCCGAATAAGCAAATTTTTCCTCCATGGTTCGGGTTTCCTCGATCTCGGCTGAGAAATCGACGCCCTTATCACTCACCTCCTCAAGAGCCTGCCTCCTCGCTTGCACATGAGCATAAGTAACGGCCCGGGTTAGCTTCTGCTTGGCCTTCACTAGTTTCTGCTCAGCCTTCACTAATATCTCTCGAGCTCGTTCATTTGCAGTAGTGGCATCTTTCTTATACGAGGACGCCTTTTCATCTGCCGTGGACCGAGCCGACGATAATCCGGCAACCTCCTCCTTGGCACTCCGCAGAAGATCCCGGGTCGACACCAGATCGATCCGTAGAAGGTCCCTCTCCGAGGCCACAACCCCATTTTGCTCCTTCAAATCGAGGACCTCCGCATCCTTGGTGACCGCCTCCTCTCGGAGCTGCTCCACCAGGGCATTCCTTTGCCCGACCTGCGGGGGAAAAGAAAGTTGGTAGAACACCAAGTTACAAAGACAAAGGGCGAGTTCGCGAATAGTGTATTACCTGCTTGACGAGGATGTGTTTTTCTCGGCACACTCCTTCCAATCTCACCCGGAGCCCACTCAGCTCCTCATCCTTTCGGGCAGAAGAGGTCTCCAATTCCCTTAACCCTGAGGTGAGATTCTCAACCTCTTTCCTACGGCACAAAAGCTCATTTTGGAGCTTAGAGAAGGCATGATCGTACATCTTCTTGGACTACAAAACCACATAAAAGACAAATAGTCAAGCACAAAGATTTAGAAACGCAAATGATATGCCAAGAGTATCACCTGTCGATGAAGCCTCTCCGCCTCCCCGAGGGCATCGTGAGCCTTGAGATCAATGTTATCATCAAAATCAGCAAGAAGGTCTTCAAGCACATTTCTCCCTCCATGAAAGGCCCCCGCACCAGCAGTGTTCTGATTCTGAGCATCCTTGATCTCCCTCGATGAGTAGGAAGCGCCCAAATTGATTCCACCCAGGGCATTAAGCTCCTTAAGGGTCTCCTCTCGCCCCCGAGAAGCATCGGGTTTGAGTTCTTCGGAGTCACCAGCAACGGGTTCCTCGATAGGGGCTGTACCACATCCAGTAAGGAACTTTGGGATCATATCGGCACCCACCTCGAGCGTTCCCAATTCAGCGGCCCTCGGCCCAGCCACCTGCGGGGCATCCGTGCCCGGCCTTGTCCTTTGTACCAAAGGGCTCTCATAATCGTCGTCATCCTCACCCTCAGTACTGGGACTTGCCCTGGTAGCTAAAGTCGAGACCTTAGCATCAGCACGAGGCCTGCGTGATTTAGGCTTCTTTGACATAGGAGATTCAACAGTCGCCTTTCTCTTCTTCTTCTTACCCTTATCGGGCTTCGAGGTCTCTTCTTTGCCGTCGGGAGGCGGTCTCATCAACACTTCTTCGCCAAGGCCTGCACAAGCATAGTACTCAAAGCTTATCAACACGGAGGGTACGCGAAAGAGATATTGAAACATGGTGGTGGCGGCAACAAAAGGCTTACCATGATTCTTGTCCGGCCACCGCGTTTTAGCCAAATCAGGCCAAGAATGCTCGAGATAAGGGAGCAAAATATCCAATTGCCTGATCCACCCCGACAGGTCCTGGACCGCCTCGGGATACCAAACGGTAGCTGCAAAAATGAAGGGAAGATCATTTTTTGAGAAGAAGGTAAAGAGACAGTAAAGCATGTTCGAAGGAAAGGCACTTACGCTTTCGTATTCCACTTCTCCGAGAATAGCATCCTTTCGGCCAGGATGATGTCCGAGGTCCTCACTCGGACGAACCTGCTCATCCACCCCCGGTCCTTGTTCTCATCAATGCTCGAGAAAAACGGCTTCGCGGATCGTGGGTGAAGCTTAATCAAACCTCTATAAAGACGAGGGCTATACAGTCTAATCAAGTGGTCGAGGGTAAAAGTCATACCCATGACCTTTGGCCTAGCGTCACTTGATATTTATGGCAAAAGTCAAGAATAACCAGATCTATCGCCGGGGAAGAAAGGTCTGAAGAATCGACGCGACCCAAGGTGAATGGGTATGTATATACATAAAGGAAGCTGACCTATGATCTGTTATGCTCTCACTAGAACTGGGAATCTCAACCAACACTGCTTCTTCCAATCGGCAGTCTTCCATCACTTTTTGTATATTAGTCACGCCGCTAATATACCGGGATACATGTTCGCATCGGCTCGACGTATATGAGGGCCTCTCGATATCACAGTATCAAACTCGATGGGTGTACATTGTTCAACGGTGGGGGCCACTTTGGGTTTACCCTTGGATGTTCGAGACGAAGAGGCGGTACCCTCTCTTCGAGGCACTGTCTTAGAGGTTCTAGCCATGGTGGTGGAAAGGTCCTTCTGAGAAAGGAAGTAATGAATCAAAGAAAGAAGAATGCGAAAAAGGATGACTTTGGCTCTGAAAGTGATGTTGTAAAAGTGTGAATCACTAAACGGTTGAGGTATTTATAGAAACCATATGGGCAGCGGAAAGGACGAACCGATAACGGTTCGTGGGATTCTCGATAGTTGTGTTGACGGAGACCCTTGCGTGGCTTTTGAGTCATGGCATTTAATGCTCTAATAAACTGACGTCATGGCAATAGTATCAAAGAAGCAAGAGTTCGAAATCGTTTCCTATCATTTCTATTTTAGGAAACGCGGGGACTATCTGTATACAGTGAAATCAGTGGGGCCGATTTCGTGGCCATTACGACGTTCCATAGATACGCCTGCTAGGGCTCGAGGCAGACTCGAAGGATTTGCAGACGATGAACTCCGAGGCAGCACAGATCGATAGGTATGATGGAAAGATGGGGATTTCCCTAGGCACTTGATTAAAGCTGGCAAAGTCTAGTAGACTAGTCCAATCCCGTATCATGGCATTAAATGGCTGTACCAGCCCCATATCTTTGTAATAAATGCATTTGTATTATATTGGGATTCCCCCTCATATATAAAAGGAATCCTTGTCATCTTGTAAGGGAGATCTGATACTCAAGAGACAATACACTACATTCAATACAAGAACATTCTCTGCTCTCTAGCTTGAACATATTCTCTTGGTTCCTTTATTTACATTTATTGCTTGTATTCATTGTGTTCTATTAATTGTTCTTCATTTATTGCTCATTATTGGTCATAAAGAGGCGCAATCACAGCTCTCATAACTGTTAGTCCTTCATCGACTGCCCTCAATCGGGCATCCGATTCGACTTCGAGGCCCCGTATACGCAAGCTCGAGACCGCGATTCCCAACTATTCGGTTTGGTTAACAAGCTGTCTACAAGCTATCGTCTTAATTTCCAATCCTTCACTTAGCATCTATTGCCTAAACAAGTAGCATAAAAATAGATCACATATTTTTAAAATCAAAAAATCAAATCTAATTGTTATTATCATTTTCAAGGTAAACAAAGTTTTGTGAAGATTTCTTCCTGGAAAAGTGTTAGAACAGTCTCTGTAACAAAGTACGATTTTAGACTGTCATTTTATATGATGTAATTCATATTTGATTTGTGATTACACTGTCTGACCAATAAAACGAATACAATAATCCAGTAAATTATGTGTTTGATTTAATTTTTCAAAGACTTACCAGCATAGTTCTTGATTTCAAACTCCTCAAATCTCATTTCGTCCATATATATATATATATATATCTATGTCATTTAAGACTCAATCCATTTTATAGCGTTGGAAATCTTTAGTTAATTAATATAGTAATAGAAAACAAAAAGTCCGGTAGGGTGTGCCGAAATTTTATTAGTTATTGAACTCTATAAAAAAATATCAACAGTTTAGTCAAAGTTCCATTAGTATAGTATCATTTAAGAATTTTAGAATTAAAAAAGAAAGAGAGAAAAAGGTTGAGATGGGTCTCCTCATTAGTCGAGATAAAAGGATAAGGTAATCAAAAACCATTGTGCGTCTCCTGGCCTCATACTTTGATGCTTTAACTAAGTTCCCCTGCTAAAGGCAATGAAAATGAACACCAACATGCTCTCTACCTATCCAAAACACTTCACTACAATCCCAATACCAATTTCCTCCAAATCTCAACAACGCCATGTTCAATCCTTTGTTCGTTTTCCTATTAGAAGCAGCAGCAGTGATAGCAATAACAATGCAACCAGCAGCATCAATGATAATGGCAACGAATCACAACCCATAACACCACCAATAACACCGCCAAACACGTTGGAGATTCGGTACCGAAGACGTTCATCAAAACGAAGAAAGCAGAAGGAAGAAGAAATGATTAATGCAGCAAAACAAGCTCCCAAGGCTAAGCCTCCACCTAAGGATTGGGAATCCATGACTCTGACTGAGAAAGCATTGGAGTTGTATGTGGGAGAAAAAGGCCTTTTGTTTTGGCTCAACAAATTTGCTTATGCTTCTATTTTTATTATAATTGGGGCTTGGATACTATTCCGATTTGTTGGTCCTGCACTCAACCTTTACCAGCTGGATACACCTACTCCTCTTGCTCCTGAATCCATGTTCACTGGTTCAGGAGAGAAACCTTGAGTATTCCAAAGTTCAACTTTGAGATGAGAGCAAGAGGAAGAGACATTTGTTCAGGCATATATCTGGGCCTAAAGAAAGTGAATCTTCCCAGTTTACTTTTTCCATCTAATTGCTTCAGTCCAAATTTTGTAGTCTACCCCATACTCGTTTCTATTGGCAACCTTGCCTACTTCTCTGATTCCAATCCAAAGAAATTTTAGGATGTGATCTAAAGGTGTAATCATGTACATGCATCTCGATAGTTTCATATGTTTCAAACTAGTATTTCTACCTTTTCTTATCGGAACTACAATTATTTCTCATTGGTATCTGCTTGTCATGCCTCTTAATCCTGATGCTATATCAAAACAGAGTTCAGTGGTAGTCGAAGTACTTTGTCTTGTTTGTAATAGCAAGATCCGAAAATTAAAAGGATTCATGAATCGTGACTAGTTGACATTGGTTAGTGGATGATGATTCTACTAGTCAATAACCTAAGAGATTCTGCGCGGTGGTTAGCTACCAATGTTGCTCTAAGTTTTCTCATTTCAGATCTCCCAAAAGCATTTCTTCATTTTTCTTTAGGTATTTCGGATATCTTTTTTCTACAGTTATACTAATGGAAGAAAGTTCTTTTTTTGGGGGGTGGGGGAGTGGGGTTGAATAAGTAGAATTGTATATGTTGGCAAAATAATTAAAAAATGTCACAAGATATCAGAAGTAAATCATTGCCGAAATTTTTGACTGAGCAGGAAGTTTAATAGAGGAAAAAATATTTTTGAAATAAGTGGTCTAAAAAAAGGATTTATATTATTCATTAAGGTAAAAATAAGAAGTTTAAAGTTAAATTATTTTTGCAAGGTGGTGATTGACACATCATATTTGATTCTTGATAAATAAATAAAAATACAAAGCTTTCTTCCTCTTGATTTCCTTTTATCACATACAATATATAGGACATAAAAGGTTATAGAATATTCCTTTTGGTTTCATTCTTTCCTTAGACAAGAGGGAGCAAGCATAGTTGGAATAATTAGAAAAGAATTCTCCTTTCGTAAGCGGGGGCTCTTTGTAACGACCCGGCAGGTCGTTTTATGTGTTACCGCTCCATTTTCCCCATTCTTGTTTCTTATTGTCTTGTTTAGATGTATTATGTGCTATCGGATTGGTTGGCTCGGGTTCGGAGAGGTTTTGGTAAGGTTTGAGACACTTAGTCTCTTTGAGTAAGCTTAAGTTGGAAAAGTCAACCGGATGTTGACTTATGTGGAAAAGGGCTCGGATGTGAATTTCGATGATTCGGATAGCTACGGGAGGTGATTTGGGACTTAGGAGCGTGATCGGAATGTGTTTTGGAGGTCCGTAGTAGATTTAGGCTTGAATTGACGAAATTGGATTTTTGGCGTTTTCCGGTTGATAGGTGAGATTTTGATATAAGGGTCGAAATGGAACTCCGGGAGTTGCAGTAGGTCCATTGTGTCATTTGGGATGTGTGTGCAAAATTTTAGGTCATTCGGACGTGGTTTGATAGACTTTTTGATCAAAAGCGGAATTCGGAAGATTTTTGGAACCTTAGGCTTGAATCCGATGTTATTTGGTTGATTCGATGTTGTTTGAGGTGTTCTGAAGATTGGTATAAGTTTGGATAATGGTATATGACTTGTTCGTGCTATAGGTTGAGGTCTCGGGGGCCTCGGGGGCCTCGGGGTGATTTCGGGTGGTTATTGTGAGATTTTAAGTTGGGTTTGGCAGCTCAAGTTCTCTATTGCTGTCATAACCGCACCTGTGGCTAGGGACCGCAGGTAAGCGCCCATAGGGTCGCAGATGCGGAATTGGCCATGGGGAGCTGGAACTGCAGAAGCGGCTATTGGAGCGCACCTGCGATAGCGCAGGTGCGGGTGTTTGATCGCAAGTGCGGAATTGGGATTTTAAGTGAAAACCGCAGATGCGGTGCTTTGGCCGCAAATGCGGTACCGCAGGTGCGGTAAAGGAACCGCAGGTGCGAGAAGCCTGGGTCAGAAAGTATATATTTCATCCTTCGCGATTTTCAGCCTTTCTTCACCATTTTTAAATCGATTTTGGAGCTTTATGGGGGATTTTGAAGAGGGAATTCAAGGGAACTTCATTGAGGTAAGATTTTTGAACATAAAACTCGTTCCTACGGTGTTATTTCATTGATTAGGCATGAAATTTATGGAAATTTGTGGGTAAATATTGAAGAACTAGGGCTTATAATTGGAGACCTAAAATTAGGGATTTGAGGGGTCATTCGTGGTTGGATTTTGGTAAATTTGATATGCATGAACTCGTGGGAAGATAAGGATTCCATTGATGTTAATTTTGTCAGATTCCGAGACGTGGGCCCGGGGGTCAGGTTTGGTTAATTTCGGGATTTGTGTTGTAATTTGATTAATTTCGTATGGGCTTCACTCCTTTAGCATATATTGATGGTGATGAACTAATTTTGGATAGATTCGACGCATGTTGAGGCCGATTCGAGAGGCAAAGGCATCGCGGGCTAGAGTTTGGACCGTATTGAGGTAAGTAATGATTGTAAATGTTGTCCTGAGGGTATGAAACCCCGGATTTCACTTCGTTGTGCTATTTGAAGGTGACGCACACGCTAGGTGACGAGCGTGGGGTTGTGCACCGTTGGAGATTATGACTTGGTCCGTCCCGTGCGACTATTAAGTCGCGTATTTTACTTGGAAACTAGTTGATATTGTTATATTTTGGAAAATATTATTGTGTTTGGAGCTAAACGGCGTGTCTGGGCCTTGTGCCGATTGTTTGGACCCTTAGGGGCTTTTACTACTATTTTTCCTCACTGTTTTGGTTTAAATGTTTACACTCAGTCATGCTATGTTCTTACTGTTTTCATAACTCGATTTTATTCACTCTTTTTGATTTCATAAATAATTTTGAGCCGAGTACTTGTTTTACTGTCAGCCCGAGGGGCTTGAGTGAGATCTGACTGAGTGAAGCCGAGGGCCCTATGTTGTGAGGATATTGTGAGGCCGAGGGCCTGATGGATCTATGACACGAGTTGGCTTGTTGTTATTAGGCCGATAGCCTGATTTGTTATGCCACGAGGTGGCTTGTGATAGAGCTTGGGCTTTAAGGAGCCCCTCCCGGAGTCTGTACACCCGTAGTGAGCGCGGGTACCCAGTGTGAGATGTGATATTGCCCGAGGGGCGGTTGTTGTTCATGTTATTGCCCGAGGGGCTGATATGAGTGATGGTGAGATAGCCCGAGGGGCTGGTTCTGTTGGTATTTTGCCCGAGGGGCTGATTTATATCTCTATCTTTTTCTTCTTGTTTTCATCACTCATTTGAACTACTGAAAGATGTTTTAAAGAGGTTTTCACTGAACTAAGGTGTTTTTATGAGCTTTTACTTTTTTATTGCATTGTTCTGGTTTATACTGCTTTGTTGTAGCATTATGTTGTGTTTTACGTATTTTCTTATCGCTCTGCTGCCTTTACTTTTATTACTTACTGAGTTGGCGTACTCACATTACTCCTAGTACCCTGTGTGCAGATTCAGGAGTCTCGGGTCACGCTAGCGAGGGCTGATTTGCTTTCCAGCAGGCTTGTTCGGAGTTGACTAGGTAGCTGCTCGGCGTTCGCAACCCAGTGCTTCTCCTTCCTATCTTTATTTCACTTGTTCTAGCTTTGTATTAGACTATGTTGTCTTTTCATACTCGTAGACGGATTTTAGATGCTAATGACTGGTGACACCCCGATGTCGGGCTGTATTTATTTCCGCACTGTTCAATTCTACTCTTTATTTTGGGATTTACAGCTTATTAATGACTTAAAAATGAATTATTATAACTGCTTATTAGTCTTGGGGGTTTGCGTCGGCTGACCTTGTTTCACGATATGCGCCATTACGATCGGGTCCGGTTTAGGGTCGTGACAAGTTGGTATCAGAGCCTAGGTTACATAGGTCCCACGAGTCATGAGCAGGTTTAGTAGAGTCTCGCGGATCGGTACGGAGACGTCTGTATTTATCCTCGGGAGGCTACAGAACCTTTAGGAAAAACTTCTTATTCTTGAATTCCTGTCGTGCGAATCTGTTGATGCTAGTACTAAACTTCTGTTATTCTATTCTCCCACAGATGGTGAGGACACGCGCTACCGGTCAGGATGGACGACCACCAGTACCACCAGCTGGGGCCACTAGAGGCCGAGGACGCGGTCGAGGTCGTGGTGGGGGCAGGGGTGTAGCTCGCACAACAGCTAGGGCAGCACCTGCAGATCCACCAGCAGCCCCAGTTCAGGATCAGGTCCCAGTTGTGGACGCTCCAGCAGCGCCAGCTCAGGCACCGGTCGTGCCTATTGTCATTCCGGGTCTTCAGGAGACCTTGGCTCAGATCTTGACAGTGTGCACCAGTCTCGCTCAGGCAGTCGCAGTCTCTACTACGGCAGCTACTTCTCAGGCCGGGGGAGGCACTCAGACTTCCGCCGCTCGCACACTCGATCAGGTTTTTCAGGGATTGCAGACACCGGAGGCACCACTAGCTCAGTCGGTGGCAACTGCTCAGGGTTATGTAGCTCCAGTTATGCCAGAGGACGAGCAGCGCAGATTGTAGAGGTTTGGTAGACTCCAACCTCCGACTTTCAGTGGTGTAGAGGGCGAGGATGCCCAGGGTTTCTTGGATAGGTGTTAGAGGATTCTTCGCACCGCGGGTATTCTGGAGACTAGTGGGGTCGTATTCACTACTTTTTAGTTTACGGGAGCTGCTTTCACTTGGTGGGAGGCTTAGTCTCTTTATGGCCAATGATGAGCGATAAACGATGAACAATAATGAAGATAATAAATGAGAGCAATAATATCAAGATAGTAAGTAAGAGAACAGAGAGAATGTTGTCTTATATTTCTTGTGGAGCAGCTGAAGCAACAGACCCTTACAAAAATGATAAGGACTCCCTTTAATATAGGAGGGAAATCCCCACATAGAACAAAATATATTATTTACATAGATATGGGGATGGGACGGCTGAATGACGCCCTGATTTGGGTTCAGAGTAGCCTGCTAGACTGTATCTGACCTAGCCTGCGTGCCTTTGGAACTCCCCATTTCCACCATAATCGTGATCATTANTGCCCTTCCAGCCCAGGGTTCGTCTCGTGCTCCATCAGTTCAGGACTCTTCTACGCCAGGTGCATCTGCTAGTCATTCTGGTGCTAGAGGTCCCCTTCAGTCCCCGTCTCCGGCACCAGGGAGTAGTTATGAGTGTGGGGAGTTGGGACATATGTGGAGGCAGTATCCTCGTCGCCTTGGGGGTTCATCTCAGCAGAGGAGTCAGCCATCGACTTCAGCA